ACACGAAATAGGGTGAATACATCTCATTACACTGATTTACTGGTAGACTCGAAACCCTACTCAAATACGACTATTAATATAATTGTGGGAAAATTCAACTACCACTCTCCTTATCAATTTAAACGAAGTAGACTGAAAACATCTTATTTGTATGAGCAATTGGTAGTGTCGAAAACCTGTTTGTAGACTTATAAATGATATATAACTATCATTGGACAGAAGTCTTCGACGAGATATAACTCGGTGCTAAGGCTGTCGCCTCACTCACATTTACGATGTCGGCGAAATGTCTGAAAATGTACCAAGTCGATGGTCAAATGATGCAAATTAGCATGACTACTATGTTAGAGGACGCAGCAACAAGTCTACTCTACAATGTCTCCCTTTAGCCCCGACCTAGTTGCGAAGATGAGGTCATACCAGTATTATATAGCTAAAGAAGACTGTGACCAAACCATCTTAGACTTTCTATCTCTTTAAGAAGGCCAGAAGCCTTTGTGAAAGTTCGCCCATTTGTAAATATCGCAGTATAAAAGAAGTTCACCTCCAGATTGGCCAATCGCCGTTGGCAACCCTCTAAAGAAAGGGCAGTAAGTGACTCGGCATTACATGGATCATCCGCATTGATGTCATCTTCACCGGGGCTGTCATAGCCACCTCTGGATCCAGCACGGGACCATCTTCCGGCCGCCTCGACTCGTAGCCACCAGTCGGCCCGGTAGAGTAGAGCCTGCATCAGACGCAGTTGCTCAGCGCCGGTCAGGCTGAGTTGAGCCGAGTGTGAGCAGTAACTAAGTGACAAGTTGTTCTCCAGCGCTGTATTACTGAGTAATAAGTCCTCGGACGACAAAGTGACATTAGCAGTCGAGATAAGAGAAGCAGAATAGGGAGGAGGCAAAAACAAAGGGGCCCACGCATTGCAAGGACCTGCAGAAGTTGTTAACAGTTTGAAGATGTTAAAAAGGCAGGAGAGAGGATAAAGAGAGGAAGGATAAGAATAAGATTGACGAATACCAACCAACTTGATTGGGCGAATGAAGTCAGGATGAGAAGGAAATTCTCTTGATCTGGTTGAGGGTTCAGGCTCTGCAAGGGCCTTGTGGTTGCCCGAGTGTTCATTCAACAAGATTGCCTGCAAGAAACCGTCGCGGAGGCTAAGAAATTCGGCCAACTTGGTCTGCGTTACAGGGAGACAAAGGGTAAAACGGGGCTCAGTTTTTTCACAATCATCCAATGGCATACATGTACGTCTGCTTATGACTAGATTGGAGCATGTGGTTAAAAATTCAAGACAATAGACAGCAATACTATCTCAATAAATGCACAACTTTAACTATCTTCATACCGATTTCCAAGTGGACAGTTTTGGAAAAAGCTTAAGAAACATACACAATAACGGCGCTTTAAGATGTACCGTGATTGTCATATTTTGCAAAGAGGCATCATGCAAATGTGTCGACATCATTTCCCATTGTGCTCAGGCTTGATTAAGTACTTTTCGAAGCCATCAGTAATCCTTGAATAACATATCTTAGTCACCATAAATCACATTATGTGCTTTAGGAATAAATCGCGGATTTTTCCCATGCTGAAATGTGGAGGAATCATGATGACATTCCACCAAGCCTTGTTCCTCAATAGGCTATCATATAAACGCTGAAATTGAGTAAGTTTCGAACTAACCTGGATCTCGTAAGCACCCCCAGCGGGATTCGATACTAGATCGTTACTATGGTGATGATGTTATCATCCCGCCCCACTCCACGATCACAGGGTGACAAGACAGCCCAGGTCTCTCTAAACTCACATGTATAGTGAAAATGTCGATTAAGCAAACATATGTTTGCCATTCAATTCGACGACGTTGCTTATTTTCGACGTAAGTAGTTTTCAAGACTACCAGTAATTCTTAAATAAGAGCTTAACCACCATAGTTGATTCACAGGTATCGAAGTGGACATATGACCTTAACTAACCAAATCACTTTATACTTTATCAACGAGGCCAGATGTAGAGTATATATACCACTTCTTAGGGATTTGCCGGTGAGCTTTCTCGACTCGTTAGCTTAAATTTTGTTGGGACGATGATGATGTTCGTCATATGACGGACGAGAGCCTAGCACCTTTTCACCAGAATCGAAGGGGATTGCCTCGAAAACAGCATCAGCATGAATATTTAGTAAAGCCAATCGACAGCTGGTCAAGAGGAATCTGCCGTCGTCTTTTGGTTGAGCTGACCTTCGAATTTCTTCACCCAACACTTTCACTCGAAATGAAAGTAAGCTCAACAAGTATGAAACAAGAGATTTATCGAAACCCAACTTTTCTTCGCACTAATTCAAATAATTCGTGTATTAGGTTGCATTCTAATCGGCTAGGGAGCATACAAGATAGAAAATTGATTTATTTAAGTGTCGTTTTCACTTAGTTTAAAAATATCCTATAAATGGTCATATTGCTTAATCTGACATTGTTTAAGAGATCAGTAGGATGTGTGAGGTCAGCAAAATTGTAAAGTTATACTAATAAAATGATAATCCATGTTTGACAAAAGGAGTTATTATTATATCGGATAAATAGGTTATCATGAAGAAAATTCAAGGGCTAAAGATGAACGCCAGATATGTAGGGAAATAAGAAAGGATCCCACAGATGAGAGTTGTGTTCACCCTGGGTAGTGTAAGGACTGATATTAGAATTTTCCCACAATTATATGAGTAGGCTTTACGATGCTATTATATTTCATTTATATGATATGTATTCATCAAATTTCGTTTAAGGTGATGAAGGACTGGCAGTAGAATTTTCCCACAATAATTATGAGTAGAGATGATGTTTCCATTAAATTTCACATGGCCTTGCTTTCCCAAAAGTTGTTCTCATCCAAGCACCAGTGGACTGCCTTATTCTGGTCAGAAATGAGAAACGAACTCTGGTGTTAGTGGATCATAAGGAAGATGTGAATTGCAGGGCTAGACCTGTCCCTTCTACATCAGACTTTTTCGTTGGATTGTCGGTAAAAAAAACGTGTATTTGCCAATACGATCGACTACATCCCTTATATTCAGCATAAGCAGGCTTCATAATTATTAATAATTTTTAAATAAGGTCTGTATTCACTCAATGTCGCATAAGGCAATAAAGGACTGATATTTTACTTTCTCGACT